TGTGCATAGATTATACCGACTGTAAAGCTTGTTTTATGCAGTTCACATTCATAAACAAGAAATAATGTGAATGGGGTGAACGAACAATTAAACTTAAATTTTAAAAAGGAGTGGATTGATTTAAATATATTTGTATCTGTGTTTAATGTAACAAGGCATTCTTGCACGTATTGCGAGGCAACAAATAAAATCTAATATTTATGCATATCAGGTGAAATTGTACAAAACAATTAATTACTTAAATGTTTTGTATGAGTTTTATGCTATGGAAACTTTGAATAACAAATAAACGCGATAGATGTAATTAATCATAAGTTCGTGTGGATGTTAACACGTACATATTTCCTTAATTAATAAAATTTTGCGGTTTGAACTATTTATAACAAAATTTCATTAAGTTTCTAAGATTCTTGTAGCCAGACTTTTCGTATCAACCAATATTCCTACATATTTCCATACATCATAGGCAGCTTAAATAAACACATATGATATGCAAAAATTCCGGATATTTACTCATTAAGCATCCCATGCGTATGTACGTATTCATATTCAAATAATGTTTTTTTTAATTATGTAAATTTATACTTTATTTGATCCGTTTATTTTTACAATACATTGGTTCAAGTTATGGAGAAAATGCAATTTTTCAATCCGTTATTTTTAGACGGATACACAAATATCAAAGCCCCCTCCTTGACATCGAAAGCCGCATTGTTGATTTACAAACTGGCAAGTGCCATTACTCAGAACAAGGTCCTGTCCAAGCACCCCTTTGTGGGTGCACGTATAAGTGTCTTTGTAACTATTACACTTGGCAGCCGCACACAAGCAAATTATGGTGTTCTCCACTATTCCAGGAAAAAAACATGTGAATAAAGTAAAACATAAGAGAAGACGAACAACTTTGGTCAAGATTGTCATTTTAGTTGTGAATCTGGAATTTATAAAAAAATTCAGGTTAGCTAAGTCAATCCCAATTGCAGTACATGCCGTGATTTATTTCGCATTGGACGAAACTAATTTTAGATGGTTTATGTTCAAAAATATGTATTACAGAAGGACCTATCCTTAAATAAATTCCATGAGGTTTGAGTAATCTGCAGTTTAAAAAAACGAATTAATTTTTCACGGCTTTTGCGAAAATTAAAAAAAAACGTTTTGAAAATTCTAAATTAAAATTATTAAGTTAGCATGTTTCTGAATTTTAGAAATCGATTAAAAAATCTTCTGCAGAAAATGTAGTTAGCAAAGTGAGCAATAATGATCTGAGGGTGTGAAAAATTCAAAAGTAGGAAATCTAAGTAAAACACAACATTCATTCCAACTACACGTTAGTATTCAAAGGAGATCTCTACCTGCCAAAAGATATGCCAAAATAATTTTGATTTCTGAAATGAAATTATTTGCTGCCTGAACATTCGGCTGAATACTGAAAGAATTCGAGGCTAAAGTTAACCATTTTAAAGGAGATTCATCCTTAATTAAGATTAACAATTAATATTTAGATATGTATGGTCTATACGTAAATAGTTTTTTCGTATGAAGGGCCATCCATAAATTATGTATAGCAAGAGGACAAGTCCACCGTCTATGCAAATCTTGAAAGGAAAGTGCATTGAAAATCGGTATTATTTTTCGTCACAAAAAGTTATGGACAGCTCCAAACTATCTATTAATAGGAGGCAGCCACTCAGTATTCTTTGATAACGTGTCTGACATTTTTCACAACCACGTACTATCCTCGCATTTAGGCGTGTCACCTCATTTGCATAAATCTCAATAGCCCAGTTTCGGCGATACGGGCTTTCCATGTTGAATAAACTCTATGACTCTCACGAATGCGTTAAAATATGCAAATGAGTTGACAGAGCCGAGTACGAGGACAGTACGTACTGTACATATGTAACGTATGTACATATGTATATAGTTATTGGATGGATTAATCATGACGCAATGCTAGGACGAAGTTCAGGGCAAACTTGATAAGACGACCGAACAAGTGTTATTCTCAGAGACAGTTTTATTCGCAATAAAATTACTGGGGATGTGCCACTTGGGATTGAATGATTTTAATTTTGAATAGCTCCGAAACAGGTAGGAGTTTGAGCTCCTAATTTTGACGGGTTTTTAGCTCAAAAGGCAAGAGAAAGGTTGTCTAATCTTGTCTAGCCCTCATTACATATAATAAGGAATTTCTAGTCCTACTGCGAAAACAAAAATTATGAAAAATATCTTGAGGAAAACAATTTGATTTTTATCATTTTTAAAACTGTTTCGCCTTTTTGTTTTTCACAAAGCAACGTGGTAAGCAAAGAGATTGATTTTTTTGTTGGATTTCGAGTAATTTATAGAAGCTAGATATCTATATGCAAAGAAAATTCATACCACATGAGTCAAAGTCTGTAGCAGAAAGAATTTTACCGAAACTATAACAAAACAAAAAATTTATGCGGTTTTGGAAAAATATTTTGGCTACTATTTTTTCGATTGTCTACTTAAACATATATACATATCAGGGGTTGTTGACAGTGTCAACTACTTGACACTACTAAATTAAAACTTGAAACTAACGATGTCGACCATGCTTCAACCAATTTCAAGTCGAAATTCTAAATATCGCCAAATGTACTGACGGCTCAAGATTGTTTAGTCTTACATAAGTGGGACATACTCCGTATGTACGTACTGTACTCATAATCTTTTACATTATAGGCTGTCCGTAGTTTATATGAACAGTACAATTACAAGGGTAACGTGCGAACGCTTGACTCAATTTGCGCCAAATTTGGCATACACATTCTCGAAGGTCTTAGCAACACATGTTCCACGTTTGAAATCTCCACCTTCAAAAATGGGCCCTAAAATTGACCCCAAAGTGGAAGCGTCAGTGAAAGCGCTTTCCAAAGCTAACTTGTCGGTCAGAGGTATTCAAACAGTGATTGAAAAATCTGGAACCCACCTTGCGTCGGCACAATATATAACATTATCAATTGCGAAGGAAAGCGACGACAATCAATTGCATCAGGCCAAGGAATTGCACGAAATGCATGCCCCTCAAAAAAGAAGAATTCTGCCACCCTCAAGAAAATTGATCGTCTCACTGATAAGGAGAATCCTCCAAGCCAACGACAGATCGCAAAGCAATGCCAGATATCCAAGTCATATGTTAACACCATCATACATCGAGATTTGTGTAAAACAGTGCTGAGAAAGGCGAAACTCCACGCCCTAAAACCATCTCATATCGCAAACAGAAAAACCAACAGTCGGAAGCTGTATGAAGGTCATCTTGCAGGTAAAAAATCGGAATTTGTCGTCACATTAGACGAGGCACTCTTCTTTGTTCAGGACTGCAACCGGACAAGAACAATTTGCTATACAAAGGACCGAAATCGAGTATCCCATTACGTCTGCCAGAAAAAAGAAAAGTTTTCTGATCGATTCATGGTGGTTGGTGCAATGACGGGCCGTGGGGTGCTACCATTGATACCAGTCCGGTCTAATGCAAAAAATAAACTCGAAGTATTATGTGGACAATGTTTTACGTAAGTTTTTGGAGGTCGAAATTCCAAAGAAATACCCTGGGGAACTCGACAAGGTTTTCATCCATCACGATGCGGCATCTTCACATACTGCAAAGTTTACCCAACAGTACGCTCAAGATTTAAAACGAAGAACCGGAATGACCTTGATATCTAATTCTGAGATCCCTATCAAGTCACCTGACACTAGTCCGATGGATTTTTTCGGGTTTGGATACCTAAAACAACAGCTTTTCAAGAGGAAGGCATCCACAATGGCTGGTGTTTGGAAAGTCCTAAATGAAGAGTGGGATCTTGTCTCCCCTGAAATGTGCGAAAAGGTGTTCGGAAGTTGGAAACGAAGACTCAGACTTGTTGCCCAAAAGCATGGAGAACACATGGAAAATACTAAGGCAATTCACAGTCATCGTGTTCAGAAGTTATAAGGTAATTCATACTGTTCATATAAACTGCGGACACCCTCTGTATGTTCGTGATTTTACCCAAATAAATGCAGTAACATATTAGTCTAACTTACTACTTATGCAGTAAAAAACTACGCAGTTCCAAACTTGTCAGGATTTTCGTGTTGATAAGCCACGATTCATTGCAAAGTCTTACACATTCAATGGTTTGGCAAAAATAACTTATGAATGCATGAAGTGGTTGAACTTGTTAACCCTGCGAAGTATTAATTCTTTATTGCGGTGGCAAAACACTTGACGAAGATTGCATATATGTCTTCCTGTAATTCAATAGTTGCTTCCATGCAGTGACCTGGAATATGATTTGGGTATACTCTTAGGCAACTGGGACTGAATCGTTACTGGCCGGAGTACATATGTAGATCTATATGAATCTACCGGCATGGGTAATATCAAGCGTTACGACGCAGTAACATTGTGGTAATGAAATATTTACCACTCAGGATTAGGATTAAACTATTACCAATCCGGTAAGGAATTACCAAATCAATACCAGTATGGAGTACATATGTGACTCTACCGTATGATTTACAGTGCAGTAGCCCACTACAGTTAAAATACACATAACTATGTATCTAAATTGCTTTTCGTGGAAACTTTCGACTATTTTCTTTCATAAATTCATAACTTTATTTCATAAATTTTGAAACATGAGATTTTCTATCAAGTGATTTTAGACAGAAAATTTAACACGAAGTAAAAAGGAATCCATAAATTATGTAGCATAATTTACATGCTAAAGGGTAGGATGTAGGTTACGAATTCTTATTTCGTGTAGTTTGTATACATATAAAATCAACATGGCAGCGATAAGGTGCCTCATTTTACCCATCGTCGATTCCAATACGTGCTTTATGCACGGTTCTCTCACATAGAGAAACTGAATCAAAGCAGATTTTCTTACTCCGACTGGGCTACCCGAATCACCCGAAAAACCGAATCCCACTTTCACTCTCCTTTCACTCTCTTCTCACCATACGTATAGAACCAACAAATACATACATATTTACAACTAAAACACATCCACGTGTTTTGCTTCATTCCATTTTCTCGAGAAAATAAGTAATCTACACAATTAATTTTCATTGCATGCGATATTTCCCATGTTTTCTCCGCTCTCGAACTATACCGAGGAAAATACTTTCCCAAATCAAAGGGCTTCTCACCTTCATAAAGTAGTATTCTGCATAATCCCAGCTATCTCCGTTCTACTAACGTTACTATCTCCTTGTGCCATTCTCGTGTGTCTGAAAAGGCAATCATTTCACGAATAATTTAGTGAACAAGTATGAGTGGGGGAGGATAAGTGGGACAGAAATGTGACCTTTGACACCTTGAGGGCCGCCGGATTTGGCGAGGAGACCACCTTTTTGCAGGACAGGGTCGTCGGACCTTTCATAAATCGGAAAATCTACGCCATCACGGGTAATGGAACCGAACGTGGTCTATTGTTGCATGGGGACTTGAAGCATGCAAAACATTTTTCAACCGTGATATGGAACTAGTTACGCCTTCAGAGTGGTGGGGAGGGGATCACGATTTATCGCAAATCAGAGTTCTGCATGGTTCCGCGCATAACAGTGGTGAAAGACTATGTCAACTGGTTGTGGACCGTGGGGGTGGAGAATCAACCTGCCCTCATATTTTTGAATGAGGTCGACACGCTTTTTAGGATGGGGGACTCGGGTAAGTTGACATGATTTTGCAGGAGGGAAGAAGTTCGCAAAAATTTTCAAGTCAAAATTTGTTGCGACCTTGTCAACGTCTTTCTTCTAGATATTGCATGCTAAATGGACGATTTTTTTCTAATTATATACATAAATTTGTATTCATTGAATATTTAACTTTGCATGTTAGCACATGCATAATATTTCTTGAAATTATTTTATACAGACAGATACACAATCTCGCAAGATAATTAATTACATAAATATTTACGGTATTTTTCTCTATGAAACTTTAATTTCATCAAAATGGAACAACTGTCTAAATAAATATTTCAAATATTTCAAATTATTATTCCAAATTTAACAAAATTCTATCAAAAAATTTCAGATCTTGCCGATGTTTTTCACCAAGGAGTGGAAAGAATGAGGTATGAAGCAGTTCTCGTAGTCTCCACTGCCCACCAGTTAGGGGCAAAATATAGCGAAGGGGTCAGATCTCCTAATGTGCCTCATATTCCGAAATTGCTTTCGATTCTGGAGAGAAGATCAGTTTTGGAGGGATGCGTTTCCAAATGGGTCAGGAAGCTGGACGGAAATATTTTGGACGTCAGCCAAGACGGGGGTCCTGGTACGAGGAATTTTTGACCTTGAGGAAAAAATTAGGGACGTTTGCCAACTGGCGTACAAAAATGGGGTGGAGGAGTGGAAGAAGCAGAATGGAATTCTGGGGGATGGGATTAGAATCGAGGCCGAAGAGGTCAACCCGTCTCTCAAGAATTGGGAGGACGCTTTAACTGCAATGGTCCAAAAGGGGGGAAATTAAATCCTTATTGTTCCTATTTGCAGATGTATTATTTTTCTGTGATACGATAAATATAGAAATAATTGTCTGACTCGAATTCTGATTATAGATATTTAATCTTGACCAATGTATGGATGTTCAATCTACGGCAATCTACAATACATATTTAAGTACAAATACCCTTTTGTGATTTTGATTTGATTTCATTTATTTCAATGAGGCACCCCACTGCATGGGACTTTACACCTCAAGGATAAAAAAGAAAGTCATACATTACACAATTTTCATTTTGCTTGTACATACATATACCAAATGATGATTACGTCATAGAAAATCTTGATACTCATCCGAATCGAATATCTGGAATAATTCTATAACTCTTTTTGTATTCTGGACATTTAAAAAGTACTTCTTCACCTCTTTTTTAAACATAATTAGACTCATCTTTCCATGCTCATTTTTTAAATTTAATGGTAGATTAGACCATGACATTGCTGCCCTATATTTAAAGGACTTTTTGGCAATATTATTACTAATTAAAATATCTGGCTTATAGTAAGTATTATTTCGAGTATTTCTATATATAACGGTGCTTATTGGTACATAATTGGCAAAATATTTGGGACAGCAGCCATTTAGCATTTTAGACACACATTTACACAACTCAGCCTGCACCATATTTTCCGCTACTAACCATTCCAAGTCGACTGATAAGTCATCGGATATAGGGTCATATTTCCCTTTATTGCATACATATCTTGCACATTTTCTGATTACCTTATTTACACACTTTAAATTATTCTTACCAAATAGCCATACAGGAGATGCGTATAACAGACTAGAGAATACCAGTGCATGTATTAATAGTATCTTATTCTTGCGTTCCACGACATTTTTTAGGGGACCAAGTGACCAAAGAGAGCTGTTACAACTTTTTATTACCTTATCACATTGATTATTGAACTTAAGGTCTTCATCCAATAATACCCCCAATAATTTTGTACAAGTAACCCTTCTAATAGGTGTGTCGTTAATTTGTATAACAATATCTGATACAGCAGATTTTAATTTACGGGGGGCAAATACAATAAATTCACATTTATTTACGTTCAGTTCTTGCCTGTTTGCTTCCATCCAACGCATACTCCTATCCAGATCATCATTCAGATTATTTACAACTTGTTCTATATGATCAATATCACTAGAAATTAACACACCACTGTCATCGGCAAACATAACACATAAACTGTTTTTTAAATGGTACGGCAGGTCGTTCATCATTATCAAAAACAGAATACAACTAATACATAACCCTTGAGAAAAACCTAGATTAGTAGGACGCGTGCTAGATGTTTTAGTACAATTATTGCAGGAGATACATATAAATTGTTGCCTATTTTCTAGAAATGACCTCACAAGTTTAGAATCTACTCCATACCATTTTAGTTTGTGTAGTAGAACCTCTTTGCAGCAGGGTTCGGAAAACCCCGGGGTTTTTCTAGAAAAACCCAACCCCGCGGGTTTTTCCGGGGTTTTTGGGGTTTTTGTGGGTTTTTGGGTTTTTGTGGGTTTTTGTAGATTTTGGGGCAGGTTGAACCAAAATTCTTTAAATTATATATTAGATAAAAAGTAATTTAATATACGATTTTGACATGCAATTTTAAGCGTTATCATTGAGTTGGACTGTTAAATCGAAAATTCATATTTCGCATGCAAACTTGGAAATATGCAATAAAACTTGGAAATTCAAGTCGCACATGAAAATTCTCAAAATTTCATGATGAATCCGTCAATTTAATTAGCATTGATTTAAGTTGTAGTTTAAGGGATTTTGTTTCAATCTGTCCCAAAATCTTACAAAAACCCCGGAAAAACCCACAAAAACCCACAAAAATCCCATTAAGCATTAGGGTTTTTCCGGAGATTTGATACCCCAAAAACTCACAAAAACCCCAAAAACCCCAACCCACAAAAACCCGGGGTAGCGAACCCTGCTTTGCAGGCCTTATCGTAGGCCTTCGCAACATCCAGCGCCACCATAATACATACTTGATCATTCTCCCATGCTTTGTATACAAAATCAGTGACCGCTATTAGGGCATGCGTGGTGGAATGGAACTTGCGAAAGCCGAACTGGAATTCTGACAACTGTGAAGTTTATAAATACGGATATCGGATTTCAAGCCGATAAAAATTGCGATCCTGTACAAAAATTTTGAAACTCTTGGGTAAAATCAATTATTATTGCCCAGCAGGTTCTAAAATACAAATTAATGTACAAATAATTGTATTAGATGTTTAAAAACATACATATGTATTCAATGAAATTAAATGGTTAACTATGTATCTGAAAATTGTAGGATGTGCGATCGTATTTATACGTTATAACGTATATCTAAACGTATTTACGAACACAAATATGTAAGAATGATTGATAAGATATGATCGTTCATCACTTCCGTAGACTTTTGCATACTTCATGAATATCTAAATTATTTAATAAGTAAGACTGAAATAAATCAATACGAATGATTGAACCTATTACTGCCATCGTTGAACACTACATATCTAATACGGCACATGACAAGCTTCTACATATATTTTGTTAGAATCATCGGAATGAGTAATAATAGGGTGTCCCAACTTTGAAAAAAAATCGCTTTTTCCGCTCACGATTTTTTCGCTATTTTTGTAAACCGCACTGCGCATGCGATTCCGATCTTTTTTCCGCTTTTTCTGCTCAAAAATAAAATCTACTTTAAGATGATTTTTTCGCTCTTTTTACTACTTTGAGTGAAAAATCAGTCTCTCAGAGACATGTTTAAGGGGACATCGCCCGATTTTGATGCCCTATGGAATATATTGCAATATCAGGTGAGTGTATGAAAAGTGAAGGAGGATTTTACTCCATGGCCCCACCTGCGCCCGCCACACCCCCTGAAAAGCATTGCAACCACTAAAACTACCGTATTCAAACCTTCGCCAAAAATCCTATTTCCATCCAATTTTGGTAATTTTTGGATTTACATGATCTTAGATAGTTGTTTTATCATATCCAACATGAAGCAAATTTGAATTTGAAAAGAAACTCCAAAGTTTCCTGACCACCCATTCTCTGCTCCTGCGTATTCAAGCGATAAAAAATCGGGACAGTCAAGTATTGAGCGAAAAAGCGGATTTCAGATTTTTTAGCTTTTCGCTTTTTTAGATCTTTTTTACAAACTTGGGAGACCCTAATGAAAATAAAACCAGTTAGTGACAAATGTGTAAATAAGTGAATACTCGAAGGGTAATGCCATATACGTATACATATATTCGGTCAGGTTTCATCTCGAATATATATCCGTATCTATATAAATTCATATTACATATTTATTTAAACGGTTAATCCAAATTACAATCACGACTTGAATTGATTTGCTTGATTGTTTTGCGATAAAATAAATAAACCAATGTAAGAAGGTGGCGTCATACAGTAAAACGAGCAATGGCACCAGATTAAAATTACGTGATTTATGATGGTAGACCTTGTCGTCTATTTAGGTCACAGGTGCATAAGTACTTCGGAGGTAAAAAATATTGAGGTTGTTGATTTTGTGGTGAAATTTCCTTTAAAATTACACCGCTTATGAACATCAGGGTTCAATTTGGCGTTTCATCTAACGCTAGGGTCACCTTGACTTTGACCACATAGACTCCATTTCGAACCAAACCGAGGACAAAAAATTAGGACATTGGAGGGAACGGTGTTTGATTATGTTGAGGCGTTCTGCTTCTGGAGATATTCTGTTTACAGGTGGACGAAAGGACGGACAAAACGATAACGTGAAACGGCCGATACCACTTAATAACTACGTAATAAAGACACCTGGGCCTCCTTATGTCGATTATTCATAAATATATAATATGGACAATTTTAGGAATTACTGGCAATATTTACTAATTAAAGGAATGTGCGCATTCCAGGAAGTATTGGCATGGCACCACATTCGGAGACAGGTTACCAAGATGTACACCTCATACCTGAAAATCCTTAAGTTTCACCTGAGAAGTTGTAAATTTGTAAAATGTCTACCCTTCGAATTCGCCAAGAATTCGGGACGGATAGTTTTGACCAGAAATTTAGGTCGAATTCGCATGTTTCGCTTCCAATGCGTGCTTTCCGTTATTTATACGGGAGCCATGTTTGTCAACATTTGCTTTGGGTGGTTAACTTTAACGGAGAAGTTTCAGGGAATCGTCTTCTTTTCGCTATTTTTCATAGCGTGCATTCACAGGTGGAATTGGAACCTGGATATTACTGGAATTCAGGTTATCAACTCGTTCTTGGAGTTTGAGGAGGTTGTCTTAAAGGGTAGGTTGACACGAATCTAGTCGAGCTTTAAAAAAAATATTAATGAAATTTGAAAAATATAAAGGGTGAGCATTCCTTGTCCGAACCCTTTATAAACTTACTAACAAGGGAACGTCCCCGACTGCTTATCGTGTCCAGGGTACCCACCATGTTTTTTAGAATCTACTAGGACCCCAGATGAAGGATTCATTCATATTTCCGTGTAAAACTCATATGTGGCGTCGTGCCGTGGCGCCAAATTCGCCAAATTTGAATGTTTTTATTTTTGAAACCGCCATAACTTTTGAAATCCTGGACGGATTTTAAAAATTTTTGGCAAATATCATGACAAGGAGTTCAACTTTCGTATTCCATGAAGTTTTTCCCAAAATTATCGCTTTTAACTTTTCGCAAAATTTCGCAATTTTCTTACAAATGGGGGTTCGTCGAAAAAATGCTAAAAATATCTCAAAAATTAGAAATTTTTGATTTTTATTTTTTTCTCGAAAATTTCGACTTTTGTGATCATTTTAAGCATAAAACTTTGAGAATCCGACATAAACTGCAAAAGTTATGGGGGTTTGAAATTGGTCGAAAATGCAAATTTTTAAGCTTGGCGCCACGCCATGGCGCCAAATATGAGTTTTACACGTAAATATCAATGAATCCTTCATCTGGGGTCCTAGTAGATTCTAGAAAACATGGTGGGTACCCTGGACACGATAAGCAGTCGGGGACCTTCCCTTGTAAGATTAAATATGTCTTTTTATTCTGTCAAAGTTTTTAAAATTAGTATACACAACTTACGGATTTTTTTACTGCGTAAATTGTCTCCATAATTTATTGGTGAATTACTTGAGATAAATACATACATGTACTACATATTTTCTTTTTCGAATCATTAGACAACCCGCCACCACAACTCTCACTTGGCGCCAAATTGATGCGGATTTTCATACCCACCGCGGGAATATCTCTTATGGGGGCTCCTATCTTGCAAGTGTTACTCCTGATTTTTGCCCCTTGCACGCCACCATTCATCATGTCGATGCGACCAGATTGCAAGGACTTGGCTGGATTTAGTGTCACTCAGCTGGGCCTACATCTGTTTGAAGGTTGGATGTTCTTGCACATGCTGATGGCCGGAGGGACCTGGATCATCTACGTCTTCTTCACCGGAATAGTTTCTCTATTGACGTATTTCAGGATTCTTAAAGGGTATGGCTAACCATAAATCTGGGAGTGCCCCTAAAAATAAATCTATGTCAGCGGGAAATATTATTTTTTCAAGTTTTCGAGTAAAGTTTGTCGCGCATTTTCATTTTAGAAAAATAGAAGCCATCGAAACCGAAATGGACATGAACTCGTGTATCCTATTCTACCGCTGGATTCAAATCTTGGTAAAGGCATACAATTCCTTTCTACGTGATCGCATCTTGCCATCGATAATGCTTTGCGTCCCAGGTATTCAAGTCGTCACGCTTTACGTGACGATAAATCATCACTCGGACATCACCATGCCCGGTTTTCTGATCTTTCCCCTCCTCTTGTTGAATGCCGGGGTGACGAACGTGCTCGGCTTGACGTTGGCATCTTTCGTCAACTCTGTGTCGAAAAGGGTTATCGAATCATTGCGGAAGAGGGCGAGTCGATTGCGAGGGAGGAAGAAATCTTTGGCGAAGCGACAACTTCGTGCCTGCTCTGTCCTCAAGATTAGGTTCAAATCGAACTTTATCGATCGTGGGACTCCGCTCGTCGTGCAGACGTTCTGCTTCAATCAGACGGTATCACTTATTTTGATCAAAGAGGGAAAATCAATGCGCTACGAGTTGTGATTGATGAATAGATTTGAACAGATTGTACGCGAATTTAATTAATGTCTAAAAATAAGATACGTATAACCTTAAAGTATAATCGAAGAAGGTAACCTTGATTTACACATTAAAATTGATCCTTTACCAAGGGAAACTTTTAATCCCTGTGTTTATTTATGTATACGAGGACTACACATGATGTAGTCTATTTCAGCATTTAAGTACTTATGAAAATGTTATTATGCACAGTTTTATTGCGAGTTGTATTGAGCAACGCCTTAGACAAACTGGAAGCTTCGAGTCAAGAATAAAGTCCACTTGATTGATCGATAAATTTATTAGTAAATGATGACACATTGTGTTGAATATGCAAACATAAATATGTATTTTTAAAGAAACATCCAAATTATTAATGTACGTAAGTTTTTAAAATAGCCTCCGAAATATTTTCGAATCTCTACAAATCAGGAATAGCGTAAAAGTGTTTTAGAATTTCAAATACAAAGTACTTGAATACATACCCGTCGTCTGGTTATAGTTTATGTTAGTGCTATTTGTCACCTACATATTTTCGCCGAAAGGTGAAAAAATCAAGATATATACATACCATGAATGTAAATACTATAGTATTTACATTCATGATACATACTTCCACTGACATTATTTTACTTCCATCCTTTTTATTTAGTCAGTCTTAATTTGTGTCATAATTGGATTAATGAATTACATATTTACATACTCTTACTTTTTTCTTCTCCAACAGAATAAAACCTTCTTAAACCCTTCCCTAAAATTGGAATTGTAGTACCCGTAGATTATGGGATTCATTCCCGAATTTGAATACCCAATCGCCACCATGATCGGTTGCGCTATCAAAGATTTCTTCTTATCCTCCGGATAAAATCCAATGATCGCATATCCCACGGCGAAAGGGGCCCAACTAATCGTGAACGCGGCAACTATAATTCCCAGCATTTTTGTCGCTCTGTAATCCCGCCCTATCCTTAAGTCTCGCGTAGCCCCACTGCTCGTCGAATTCGACACGGATCCCGTCCCATCGCTAAAAATAGTGGGTAAAGTTCCCCTCGACCTGTGACACGACCTCCCAATCCCGCCCCCTCTTCGCCTAAGTTCCTTATGAATGGCGAAATAAGTCCCCGCGATGATTGAAATTGGCAAAACAAAATTCCCAAAGGCCATCGTCACCCCGAGGTCCGCACTCGTGTTGGCTATGCAAAGTTTGCTTTCAAGTTGAGTACGGTTACCGATCGCTTCCCAATCCCTCATTGGGGGCACGATGAGCCACCCCGCCAAAATCCAGATTAGGAAAATTCTCCTCAAAAAGAATGAAAATCTTCGTCTGGCGCGGTACGTCAACGTGTCGAAAACCACGTGATACCTGTCCCGCGAGATGGCGACGAGGTGCAGGACCGACGCGGTGCAGAGAAGGAGTGCGATCATGATATAAAACTGACAAACTGTTGAACCAAAGGGCCATAGATTTGAGGAAATTTCGCCCATCATGGTAGGAACGAGGAGAGCGCCGACAAGAAAATCGGCGATGGCGAGGGAGAGGATGTAGCTGTTTTGGGGGGTGCGAACTGGGGGATGAAAAACCCAGGACAGCATGACGAGCGCATTTCCGAAAAGGGAAGCCACTCCGACGATCGAGAGGAAGCAGATAAGCACGATTTGAGCTGGTGGGGCGAGGTTGGTCATTTTGGGATGAGATCTATTTATTTATGTGTGATAAGGTTAATAACTTAGGCTCCACAATTTTTAGATCTCTAATTTAATAAAATCTGGAACTAAAGGAAATTGATAGCAAAATTTTGGAGCTATAAATTTTTACCCAAATTTTAAAATGCTTACATTAATTGATTTTTAAATTTTAGAACAATAATTAACTTCAAAATTTGTACCCAACTCACCAGATAGTTTTGTGAGAGACTTAATATTTATTTCGTGGGCTTGTCTAAATTCATACAACTTTTTAAAGAACAAGTTACTTCTATTATGTCTCTGCTACACGAGAGTCTGGTACGAAGTGGATGAGTACAAATGTTTTATTCACATATTTATACATATTTACATGTTCGGATAAGATGAAAAAAATATAGGAATGTGTATGTACTGATTAATGTGTTGGTCTGCTTATCTAATGTGTGACGATTGCGTGGGGTGATTGAGTGATTCATTTTAGGCCTCCCCACAAATTCCACTTTGATTTGAGCTTAACATATGTCCGAAACTCTGATGGGACAACTATGCAGCCAGATAAGCACGCACAGTTCAATGAATTTGATGACAGGTGTGACATGACACCTCCACAATTAGGACTGCCAATGAGTTGAGTTGAGCTGAGTTGAGGGTTAACTTAACTCAACTCAATAAGAAAAATCACCGACTCAAACTCAACTCGACTCAAATTAGTCTCAACTCAAACTCGACTCAACTCAAACTCGACTCAACTCAAACTCGACTCAACTCAAACTCGACTCAACTCAAACTCGACTCAACTCAAACTCGACTCAACTCAAATATTAACGACTCAAACTCAACTCATATCATATGAGTCGACTCCAGAGTCTTGGGATTAACGAAAGTGGGATTAATGATTAGGATTACGGATTGATTTTAAAAAATTCGGGATTGAGGATTGAGATTAGGGATTAAATTAACTCGGGATTAAAATTAATTCGGGATTAAATCTCTCAAGTCATTCAATGGGATTAGGGATTAGGATTAATTTAGTCCGATTTTAATCCCGGAATGGGATTAAAGTCGTGTTTATCGTCGATCACATTTATATCTAGTTAATGTTTCTGATGTCTTAATTAAATTGTTTTATAAGTCTTAACAGTGCGATTGAATTTGAATAACCTAATGACCATATAAATAATGACCTAAAGTGTGAGTTGTCGCTTAAGTGAATTAAGTCCAGTCTCCATTTGATTAACATTCAAGTGTGAATGAGTGGGCATTACCACTGGCCACTCTAGGTTATTATTATACGGCCACAAGAATATGAAGTGTACAGATGAGTGACATAAAATAAGTTTACTTAGTCATCAGTGAACTAAAATCAACTTTAACAGATGAAGTCTTATCAAATGTTTTTAAATACATGAACTATTTGTTTAATAATATCGAATTTTTGTTTGTGAAATACAACGATGGAATTTCGATAGTTATGGCCCATAACTTATGGGAAACATATTTTTAATTGAAACAAAAGGAGAACTGGCAAAGTCTCTGAGAATTTTCAGCAGGTGGAGCTGATTTAATCCCATTATAATCCCAAACTTGGATTAAGATTAATCAATGCGCTCCGGGATTAGGATTAGGGATTAATTATTTTTTCAAAACTTTTTGGGATTGAGGATTAGGGATTAAAAGTCAAAACTTGCGGATTGAGGATTGGGATTAAGGATTAATTAATCCCCAATCTCAATCCTCAATCCGTAATCCCGGATTAACCAGACTCTGGTCGACTCACCGTTTTTTAGAGTAACATTTATTTAACTAAATACCTACGTTCAAAATAGGTTAAAAATCTCGTTAAACTTAAAATTTCCATTTAGAACGATGTTGCTAGTCACCAATTACAATTTCCATGATTTCCTACAGAATATTAAAATCTACAACTATAAAATTGTTGTGTTAATTTCGATAAGCTAATCAACAAATCGGTATATGATGACGACGTGTATGGAGAGGGCAGCTTAGTATGCGTATTTAACAGTGTAATTTTTTATTTGAATTTTTTTTGACAATTGAACATTTTTCCATTTTTTATTTCACTCAGCCCAGCAAATTCAAGGAGAGAAAGTGATTCACGAGGATGCGAATGTGAAAAATTGAAAAATGTGAATAATTTTACCACAAATCGCTGGCTAGAGATTTAGCAGCTTGCTTTCATCAAGGTGAAAATCTCCAAATGGATAAACTGGCAGTAAAAAATCCTTAATGAGTTGACTCATGAATCAACTCGAACTCATTTTCCCTAACTCAACTCAAACTCATTATTTTTCGACTCACTCATTTCAAAGTGAGTCGAGTTAAACTCTCGACTCAAACTCAACTCAACTCAATGAGTCATATGAGTTGACTCGAATTCATTGGCAGTCCTATCCACAATATTGGTCGGGTTATATTAATCAATCAACCTAATCTTGGAGCATGGTAAAATTTCACAGAATTCTCCAGTCGACGTATCAAGAGTGCAAAGTGATTAGACTCAAATTCACTGATTTAGGGAAATTGCAATGTTTTTATTGGATGGAGAAAATGTGGAATTTGTGTAATACGTAAGTAATTGCAACACCACGTGTAATGTAAAAATGGAATGTTATGCATGAACTTTTGTGCGCAAAGGAAATAATGGATTAGTTTCAATTCTGGTAACCGAATGTGACAGACAGAGTAGAGTGATATGCTTTTAATCCTTTTGGTGATACGAATTAAATATGTGCATCTTGCTTCAGGTTTATTTTGGATTTTAAACGTGTTTTTTGTCCCTATGGAATTGAAGGGTTTGCATTTCTTGATCATTGAATTTCTTGGGTCGAAAATACATTCAATTGTCGTAACAAGATACGATTATGAGGTGTTTAAAGGTTTCAAATTAATAGATACATATACGTATATATGTATTTGCCTACGGTTTAATATGTATGTATATGCATGTAGCATACAGAATGGTATGCTTAAGTACGTACGAATAAAAGTAGGTATGTATATGTATATGTACATAGGACAAATAAATGAACATGAATGTGTATTACACATTTATGCACATGCACATACATACGTACCCTAGCCTGTATCTAGATATCACTTTATTGAACAAGATTTGATAAATCTAAATGCGTACACAATTAAATGTGACATTTGTCCATTCATATGCCAATGAGTCTGACTTATTAAGTCGATATCATGACAATAACCAAACATTTATTAATATATTTTTGCACAAGTGTACAAATATGTACATGCCACATATTTATGCACACGATGAGGCATGTTACTTTGTTAAAACGTCTGGTCGTGTGATATTTATGTCCATACATAAGTACGTACATAAGTATGTACATATTTATGTGCATACTGAATGCATGCAATAGCTGAGCATGATCTTGGCTTCTCTTATCTCTCATGATTCTCGCCAATACGGTATAGATTTCCTTAGATCAATTTTAGAATTCCATTAAAATTACGTTGACTCATTAACTTAACAATTTTACAAGTCAAATGTATACGACGCTCATTTTAAACCATTTTCAGACCTCAGTTAGAGTTACATACATGAATACACATACTTATTTACATCTTTATCTATTGAATTCTTCATTTAACTTGATTTAACTAGTTTTTTGGTTTTATTTCAATTTAGGATTTCAGATTAACAAGATTTTACAAGGCCACAGTATTTGAGTTTTTATGAGGAATTTGGTTTTTGGTAAAATAGCAATTCTTTATGGGCATTTACACAATAAATTTTGCATTTTGCGTATATGCACTTTTTCAGATAGATAATCTTCCTCATTGCAGATCAGCGATGTGCAATGACCATTCAGCGTCAATCAAACTTGGAAGAAATATGTGATTTCATTTTTAATTTTTCATAAAAGAACAAATCACTAAATTCGAATTTCATGAAGAATATTACGCAAATTAGATTAAACCTGGTTTTACTACAGGGCTGGAGCGGTGGGCATGATAACCGGAGAGAAAAGAGATGTAATACACATGGAAGGCGCCTTAGCTTAGTAGTATAGCGCTTGTCTTGTAAACAAGAGGTCGTGGGTTCAATTCCCACAGGTGCCAAGCTTACTTTTTGCACTTTTTCTCCTTTTGCATTGGTTCCATTTATGTAATTGATTTTGTATAGTGCATATAAATAAGGAGTGTGCAAATTTTAAATTATTCCCACATAATTAGGTGAAAAGTTGACAAAATTTTAGTTTTCAGTGCATAGTTGCGTGTTATTTTGCATGTAAATTCTGCCTCTACATAGTCGGAAACACTCAAGTGTCAATGACATATAGCTGTATTACTTTTGTAAATTTCAACTTAGCAATTTTTGATTAATTTTACCGAAAAGCCAGATAAATTTCAATTCAAAAACAATTTTTAGTGTTAAAAATTTCCTCCTCCTGCGTCAATGCCACGCTAACGACGAGGCGGCCACTCCTCGATGGAATTAAGCACCGATTCCAGGGACATTTTGTGGCATTCCGGGGTCAGAAATTTTTTCCAAGCCTCGGCACTTCTACGGGGCTTAGAACACACCTTTGCCCCTAACTTTGACCATTTTTCATATTCCGGTGGTTCAAATCCATCAAGGATGATGACCAATTCTGATTGGAGATAAAGACAGGAATTTCTTTTTTTTAGCTACGCTTGGGTCATTTTTTGCACTATAAATTCGTGCTGAGTCCTGGTAAGAGGTCCCATCGATTCCACTGAATTGGATCTCACTTAGGGGATGTACCACGGATTCAAAAACATATTTTAAGAAATTTTATTCCCCCACCTCCCCCCAATTTTCAGCAAAATGTAGAGAAATTACCCCAATTATCTCCCACCTGCCAAAATCATCAAAAAACCTGGAAAATGTGACTTTCTGACCTTTTGTCTATATCGGGGGATGTCTTTGACCAATTTTGCGTAGATTAGGACAACTCGCTTGTTAAAAGATTTTTCCGATGTGAAAATCTCCTCATTCGTAAAAATAATCCTGCTCCCTTTTTTGGAGCGTACCGCTTGAGGTGACTCCTGCATTCATTTAATCTGGCTTTCCTTTGGGGTACGATCAGGATGTGGCAAGTACCACATTTCAAAGCCTTAAGCCTAAGCTTCAATTTGAGCACTCATTGGATAATTTTCATCGACACTGTCAGCAGTGAGCCCGGTTTCGGTTAGAATTTCGTGAATTTCTTTGGATTCCAGGCTTGAGAGGCTAAACGATGAGTGTGGTCCTTGGAGGCTTTCAAAAAATTCTTCTTCGACTGTTCTTAGTCAGTCTGGTCCTCATGAACGTTTCTATAGTCCGTTGGGCTAAATTAAAGTGCAACTTTGACTTTTTCAGCACATGTCAAATTCACTGTTTTTCTTCGATTTTTTTTTGTGAAAAACTATCGCCGCCCGCTTCTCTTCAATTTCCTATATATTTATCCAGATGTTCAAAAATTACAAAGTCTATAGTGAATCATAATGTAAATCGCATGGCGAATCTAATGCACTTATCAGATTTTTATTTTGCAGCGTAGTTTTTTAGCAATCAGCTGTTTACACGTTGAGTGTTGCACGGCGCTCATCTGAAATTGCAGTTTAGTAGTGTTCATTTACAAAAAATCCGAAATTTATAGTGGATTTTATTCGACTATTTAAAACTCCATCTTCTTGTCAATTACCATGTCAGGCCTTTATCCTAGACTCTACAATGCCTGGAAGTTGGCAAATCCACTTTCGTCAGGTTCGTGACAAATTAATAATCATACGCTCAGCACTTACTAAAAAAATTGTAAAATTGTTTCAGGAGCAAAAGTTCAGTCAGAGGTCAACGCGTATTGGAAGGAAAACAAAACCAATCCTGCTGAAGTTGAAAAAACCATCCTAAAGTTGAAAGAAAGATCTCTCAGGAAACAGCCCACCATAACTTCAGCGCTGGCAAATCTTCCAATTAAAAAAGTTGATGAAGCGAGCTCTAACTTATTAGGTATTTTAAATAAAACACGCGTAAAAAATTGAAACTAGAAACCTAACGTTCCGTTTATACTTCACTTACTTGTACATACGTGTGCCAATGTTATATTTGAACTATAACCCAAGCTACAAACGGTGAAGTATAAACCTGATCCCTGTTTTTGCTATAAATAGTGTTATAATGATTTTAGTATATTTCAACTTTCATGATTTAGGGAACGAATGTAACACAATTTCTCATGCTACAAGTCAGCCAGTAATCGACAATAATCCCGTTCCTGAGGACGCGGATGTACAAACTGGACAACATCGGGTAGCCCCAACTCAAGAAAAAATATTAGAAATAATTACAAGTAATTCTGCGAAGATAGTTGCACTTCAGCAGATAAAGGACACAGGCCTTGCAACATCGGATCAACTGGATGAAGTCTCTGAAGGTAATCACAGTCAACCAGCAGAAAAAATTGGATCAGCTTAAACGACATGCTCAATCCTCTCAAAAATCCCGAGATGGCAAGAAGAATAAGATCGACTGTTTGATGGAGAAGCACCCAGAATTAATGGAAGAATTGTCAACTCTAATACCTAAACCAATTGGTAGACCTAGTCTAGAAGCTGAGCAGCCACTTCTTCTCAAAACAATAGTTGACATAATATGTCCACACGCGTCAGCAGAAGCACGCCGGCGATCAGAATTACTCCGCAGCTGTGTGACACTTAATGACTTGCATAATGAATTGAAAAATGAAGGTCACCTAAAATAGTAATTAAATTACCTTTATCGATACTTAAAAACTAAATTGATAATTAAATTTCCAGGGTACAACTTGTCAAGATCTGGACTGTACCTAAGATTGCTCCCAAAAAATTCTACAACAATCGAAGGAAGACGCCACGTAACAACTGTGCCTGTTAGACTTATCCGTCCTGAAAACAATGAAAGAAAAAATAATCCAGACGGACACTTTGCGTCAGCTACTGTAAAATATGTAAAGGATCTGGCTTCTCTATTTGGTAGCGGCTGTGTTTTTGTTTGCAGTCAAGATGACAAGGCGAGAATTCCACTGGGTCTGCCAGCTGCAAATAAACAAGCCCCAATCTTGATGCATCTAAGCTACAAAGTCAAGCTACCGGACCATGATTGGGTTGTGGCATCCAAACATAAGCTCATTCCATCGGTATATGCAGCTTTATCAATTGATGACAAATTGAAGACGATCACTTACTCCGGACCGACGTACGTGGCAATTCGAAGTGGGAAGCACGACAAGAGTACCGCTGAATCTCATGGAAAGGATTTTCGAAGATTAATGGAACTTGAAAATTATGCAAATTTCGTCAAATCTCCAGGTGCAAATACAATGAAGCCAATTGTATGCATTTTATCCGATGGCGGCCCAGATGAAAATCCACGCTACCCCAAAGTCCTCACCCAAGCAGCTCACAATTTTAAGCTTTTTGATCTCGACTGCATTATTGTAGCAACAAATGCCGCTGGCCTTTCTGCGTTTAATCCAGTGGAGCTCAGGATGGCGCCGCTTTCAAGAGATTTATCGGGACTAATACTTCCACATGATCATTTTGGAACGCATTTAGATGACCAATGTCGAACCAACGACATTAACTTGGAGAAGAAGAACTTTCAAAAAGCTGGCGAAATTTTGTCGGAAGTGTGGAGCGAAAATAAAATTGATGGATACGATGTATTTGCAGAATACATTTCCCCCGCGGATGGAACTGAAGAGGGGTCCAAAGTTTTACCCCTTTCAGAAGAGTGGAAATGCATCCATGTGCGGCAATCTCACTACTTCCTTCAAATTGTGAAATGCGATAATCGGAATTGCTGTAAGGATTGGAGATCAAATTACCCTTTAATCATAAAAAACAGGTTCCTACCTCCCCCACTCCTGTTTCATAAATCAGAGAATGGAATTCGCTTATGTGAACCGACCTGCACTATGGATCATGCGCATTCGTTCCAAGATTTGCCAACTAGATTGATTTTAACATCATTGGAACCATCCTGCCCAAAGTTCCGGATCCTCCCATTTGACGCCTACTGTCCATCACAGATTCCGTATCTTGAAGAACGTGTGTGTCCGACGTGCAACATTTCCTTGGCGACTAAAACTGCGAAAGCTGCACACAAGAAAGTACACGGACGTAAGAAATAATCCTGGCGGAAACTGATTCTGACACACAATCCGATGTGTCGGATATCGAAAATTCAGACCACATTCATGGGGTTGAGGCAATTCAACCAGACACAATGGATGGAGACAGACTTGAAATAATTGAGGACCTGCAAAGTTGGATGGACAATAATTTTGAACAAATTTTCTGATCATATTTTTGGTTCATTATTATTTTAGACAATAAGCATATGCGTTTTCCTGTGAGACGTGAAGCATATAAAAATTAAACAAAACCCATCAAAACGTTTTGATTAAATAGCCTTAATGTCAGTAACGATTGTAAGAACCCTGGAATAATATTATTTTCCGGACACCATGATTTATTAGCATCATTTGGTCTCCTGTCACGTGACCGGAGGGGGGGGGGTTACGAATTTATCACCAACGGTCACCAAGGGGGGGGAGGGGGTCAAAATTCTCCAAAAATCGATCACGTGATTTATGGACGCTCCCAAAATGAAGGTGATTAAATGGACAGACAGACGACTCCCTTAAAGTATCCACACTTGCACAGACTTATCCTTAGCTGCATACTTAGTGTACATATGCCTACACTTATTTACATACATGCTTAATAATTTTAATAAAAAATCAGTGAAATTTAATTTATTCATTCAAGTATAGAGTTGTATTCGCAGAGAATTGAAAGTACAAATATAATGCAGACTATTATCATTTTACATTCATTGATTCGAAAAAGCTAAACGTCCAGCGTAATAATTTTACTTATGTGCATATGTACTTAGGTCCCCCATTTGTAAATACGCATGGTAAGTTCAAGAAAACAAACACAATCTTTGGGTGTTTTTTGCAATCTTATTTACGAAATGCCAACATTTGCTTGACACAAGTAGGATAGATAGATAGATAGATACATACATGCATACAGTGTGTATGTAGATCAAATTCTCTTTCATGACATTTGTATCTGCATATTTACTTAATGGTGTGTTGACACCAAAACCAGAATCAATTATGAATTGAACCAGGAAGCGACAGTCTGAACAAAATTTTCCAGTGAAAGGTTGAAATCTCAATATAAGAAGAACCATTTACAAATTGTCCATAATTTCTCTGTGAATAATTTTAAAAATGAACAATTTAATTGTGACTGTCATCATCCTGACTCTTTTAGGGACTCTCTTTGCACGTCGAATATCTGGTAATTTAAATAATTCAAAAGAATCTACCACCTTATAGGCACCCACATACATAATTGCAAAACTAATGTGTACATAGATATTTACTAGATATACATGTATTTAATAGATTAAAGTACAAATATGTGTATAGGATGCATATATGCAATATGCATCCTTTACAAGAACTTTAGGCGACTATAGTCGCCTAAGGATTTTACTAAAAGATTTCAACTTACAGCATAAATATCCACTGCAATGTCTTATTCAATTCATAACTTGATGAAAAAGGTGTTGATCACTAAACATTTCGAGATTTTTGAAAATTATGCCTAAATTTTGTTGGGGTATGGTATGATAAAATTTAGGAGCCTTGTTTTTTTTCCCGTAAAATTAGTATACTTAATAAATTGGTATTTTTTATTGCTTATAACAATTACTATGGAATTTCATGCAAATTATTGTCTCTTTTAAGGTCCAGAAATTGAGAATGTGGCATGTACAACAGTCTTGAATAGTCAAGGTACATGCGTTGCCAGTCTGGTGAATTGTGTTCCAGGGGTAGCACTTCCATTAGGATGCTCTAACGGCTCGGAACGATTCTGCTGTCCAAATGACAAATTGTTGTAATGCAACCTGTCGCCTCATACATAATGCACAGATATGATCTAATGAAGTTAAATATGTATCATTACATTTGTTTTTATTAAATAAATTTTATTAAATAAATAATTTTGATAAATTAAACCCTGACTGATGCAAATTATCCAAAGATCTACTTCTCCGATGGCATATACTTATTAGTCGTATTTTTGTCAATACATGCATGGAGTATTGATCTTATAATACACATGTCAGACATGTTTCTTACAGATCTTATTCAAACAGCACTAAAATATTAAGGAATTAAACACAAACAACGGTTGGTATGGTACTTGAGCACTTCTGCAGAATTCGCGAAATGGCGAAGGTTGTAAGTTGGCAAAAATGCACATTTTCATCATGCGAAATTATACGGAGTTCACCTCTCGGATTTCCGATTTTCTCCTGCGCTTTACTTCACCAGCTCATCGGTTTTTGTCTTTCGTTCAAAATTGAGTTTATTAATTTCCCAACCAAGTTCTCATCTGATTTTTCATCTGTGGTTCTTAAATAAACCGTCGTAAACGCACATAAGAAAGTAGCTTCAGACCACTTCACCCCAACCACTCCCACGACATCGCGAAAACACGCTATTTCACTCTATTTCACCTATAGATTCAATTTTTGTAAAAATCTCATTTTGCCCCGACCACACCCCCTGGCGACGAGGGGGTGTGGGACAACTCGGGAACACTTAATTTTACTCTATTTCACCTATAGATTAAATTGCACTAAAAATCTCAATTTACCCCGACCACACCCCTTGGCGCCAAGGGGTGTGGTCCGATTGACCCCAAAAGTTGATAGGATCCTCCCCCTGGGGTTTTATGTATGATGGCGAAAACCGATTTCGATTACCTTCATCCGTTCTCCCGTTATCCTGCTGACAGACAGAGAGACAGACGGACAAAGTCTTCGCATAAAGTAGCTGAAGCTACTTAATAGGTTTTTAACCTTTTTTAATATTTTGAATGAATTCAATTAACTTTGTATCAGTGGGAATTTAAAAAAATTGTTGAAAAATATAGAAAAGTGAGAAAGTTAGAGTGAAGGACACCACCTCCTAGAAGATGGCAAAGAAAGGTGTTAAGTCCTACCGTGCTTAGGAAAATTGACCTAGGGACCTTAAAAGACGATCCACCGACCCAAAAGGAAATTTCTCGTAAGGTTGGGGTGTCTAAGCGTTCAGTGGAATTAATATTTTGAAGAAACAACGTCGTCGGAAATCACAAAAGCATATAGAAAGTGCATATATGCTTTTGTATAAGTATTTCAATTCTTTTAATTTCGCCGCGGTCGCTACTTTAGGCCTCGAACCATTTGTGGCGAAAAATTCTTGTGGGTTTCAAAAAAAACCGTAGACGGTCGTACGATAGCTCATTTTCTTCGTAAGGCCTTGTAGTTTCTAATAAAAAATATTAGAAAGTCCAGAAAAATTATCCATGGACTTTTATTTTTGGGCTCTCATTTTGAAGTGTTAAAAAAATTGTGACCTTTGACCTGTAGGTTACCTTACAAATCGTCGACGCGGAAATACTCGCCAATGAGTTGATGCAGCTGTGTGCGGAGTTTCCGTGATCGAAGTGCACAGTATCATATCCAAATTACAAATACGCAAATAACCTATACTTTTATATACCGTGAATTACCGTGTGTATATATGATGAACTAGCGAATACATATGTACATCCTCATTTTTACCATGAAACAGAAAATCCTCGATGCCATTGCATTGTAATGCTATTAGCAATGAGAGTACATAATGGACGACGTTATGAAGTGATCAACGCTTTATATTTAAAAAAACATACATACATATATGTAGAAGTAATAATACATAATGGCTACATATATATGTACATATATGTGCCCCACCAATTGTAAGATCAATTAAATTAATCTATATATACCGTCTGAGTTGATGTTTTTTTGCAGTTAATCTACTCCTTTCGAAAATTTGGTACATAATTTCAACAATTACGCTAATTGCGAGACCCCCCATCCAGACTAAAAATACGTTTTGCATCCCTTCACTTGTTTTCCCACGTGCTATCTGCTGACTTACACCGTTAAGTTCTGTCTTATTTATATCTACGCTCACGTTGTTCTTCCCGACATGATTATATTTCTCAAACCAAAGTAATTCGTTGTAAATTCCAAAATCCAAAAAATTCTTAAAGCCTCGTACAAATGTATGGCTCTGGTCGATCGGGAAATTCCATCCCGTGATTGCAACACGAATACTATCTCGACTAATGTGAAATCTTTTGGCAGTGGGATATTTCTTTTTGAAGTAATCCTTGTATGATTCTGTATCCTGTTTGGTTCCAACGTACACTGATTTTTCACAAAGGAGTAGCTCATCCTCAATCGCGGGCCAAATTTCTTTATGTGGAATTACCACTTTATTAATTACCTCATTATTGAAGGTTTTCTTCAGGAATGGGATAAATTTCTTAGGAAATGGCAGTTGTCTCGGATCAAGTAGGCGTTTTAATAAAGGCAAATCAGAGGATTTGCTTCCCCATGCGGAATAACTGATGCCTGCGAAAAAAAAATAGACAGAATACCTTTCTATGGAGAGGTAGTCCGCACTTGAGATATTGTTTGGAGTTGAAAGTGTGCTGTAGCAGGATGAATTGCTGAGGATAGATCTTCGGTATTCAGTGATGTTCGGGTAAAGATCTTCAAATACTTTCACTTGTTGGAAGTACAGCGGGTGGGAGATATCATAGACTAGAACATACGTATTTACATGAAACACTCATTTAAGAGCTTGTCGGGAAATGGAAATATTCATCTTCAGTTGAACTTCGTGACTTACATATGAGTAGTAATCGATTCAACAGCGAGATCCACTAGTAATTTTAGAATTTGGAATCAAGTATTAAACTCCGAATTTTAAACTTAAAATTCGGGAAAGCCCCAAAAATATCCAAAATTAGAAAATTCTGAACATTTTTTATGTCGATTTTACAAGGGACGGAGGTATTTGAATAAAGATTATAGCAAAAAAAAAAATTGTACTTCCATCCACCCGTTCCGGTGAAATCCGCTTTCCTGTGTACAAATGTTATAAGTCCATAACGCCCCCCAGGCTAATTGACCCGCCAAAAAACTTTGGTTTTATCATCATACACTCTCCATAGCAAGAATTTAAAATACTTGATTCCAAATTTTAAAATTAGTGGTGGATCTCGTTGTTAATCGAATAATTCTTACTCATATATTTACTGGACTCCAACCAGTACACAGTAGGATCGATTTGTGTTTTTTTCTGTGAACGGGGGAAGAAAACTCCAGAAAATTCCCATAAGGACGGTATCAAAAGGGGGTGTGGCCTCAATTTTCTCAGCAACCGCGTTCGCACATTCATACCACAAATTGAACACACGTAGAAATCCAATAATTGGAGTTCTACCAAGAATTGAATAGGTTATTTTTTACCACCGCTGGGAATTACTGCTAAGTGGATGCGTATGGACTCAAACGGTTCGAACCGTTTTTAAAATGGCATCTATTTGATGGCTCGGTTATTCAGCACTAAATATCAGAACCAAGAATTGTGCAGTGGTGTGTGTCTGTGTGTTACCAGTTGAACTTGGCGCTTGATTATGATTAAATTACACACGTGTCTCACATTGTCCAATCTAATGTCACCTAGCGGCAATTTGGGCACAATGTTGCATTTTTTGTTTCTAGAGGGCGTTTTTCGCTAAAGTGCCAAAACGTTTCCAAAACGTTGACGAACACTAGAACAACGAAACACACCCTTTAGATCTCCCGAGACTTGATCAAATGAACGGGCTCACCCCCTAGAGTTGACATAAGTGCCATGCGCACACCCCCTAAAGTTGACATTTGACCTGTGACCTGGGCACACTCACTAGACTTGACATTTGACCTGTGACCTGGGCACACCCACTAGACTAGACATTTGACCTGTGACCTGGGCACACCCACTAGACTGGACATTTGACCTGTGACCTGGGCACATCCACTAGACTGGACATTTGACCTGTGACCTGGGCACACCCACTATACTTGACACTTGACCTGTGACCTGGGCACACCCACTACACGTGACCTGTGACCTGGGCACACCCACTACACTTGACCTATGACCTGGGCACATGTACTATATTCGACACTTGACCTGTGACCTGGACACACCCACTACACTTGACCTATGACCTGGGCACATGTACTATATTCGACACTTGACCTATGACCTGGGTACACGCACTATACTTGACATTTGACCTGTGACCTGGGCACACCCACTATACTTGACACTTGACCTGTGACCTGGGCACACCCACTACACTTGACCTATGACCTGGGCACATGTACTATATTCGACACTTGACCTATGACCTGGGTACACGCACTATACTTGACATTTGACCTGTGACCTGGGCACACCCACTATACTTGACACTTGACCTGTGACCTGGGCACACCCACTACACTTGACCTATGACCTGGGCACAAATACTATATTTGACACTTGACCTGTGACCTAGGTACACGCACTATACTTGACATTTGACCTGTGACCTGGGCACACTCACTAGACTTGACATTTGACCTGTGACCTGGGCACACCCACTAGACAAGACATTTGACCTGTGACCTGGGCACACCCACTATACTTGACACTTGACCTGTGACCTGGGCACATCCACTACACTTGACCTATGACCTGGGCACATATACTATATTTGACACTTGACCTGTGACCTGGTCACACGTACTATACTTGACACTTGACTGTGACCTCTGTGGCACACGGTGTAGTTTACACTTGACCTGTACCTAACTAATTTTAATTACCTGCCAGCGCCACCTATCGTATGTTGGCTATTTTTCAGCGCTAGAGGGCTTTTGACTTTAGTGCCTAAACGTTTTCAAAACGTTAGAACAATGGCACACTTTAGAGTCGTGACCGAACGTTTTTCGTGGTCACACCCTTCAGTGTTGTGACTCAACGTTTTTCGTGGCCAAACCCTTTAGAGTCGTGACTGAACGTGTTTGGTGGACACACCCAGTTAGAGTCGTGACTGAACGTTTTTCTTGGTCACACCCATAGAGTCGTGACTGAACGTTTTTGCGTGGTCA